CCCACGGCCACTCGATGCACCTGATCCAGGCATGCTACTGTCGGCCCGTCTCGTTCCTCGACATGGGAGGGTAACGCCGTCCACCCCTGATCGCCGCGTCGGGCGTTACTCAGGGATGCCCCTTGAGCGGCGCGATCTGGGCGCTCGTCTTCGACCCCTTCATCATCGCTATCAGCCGCGAGCTCAACGCTAGCCACCGCGACCTCATCAGCGCCTGCGCGGACGACCTCGGCATCATCCTCGCCAGGCCGGCCGACATCGGCGCGCTCGCCCCCCCCCCACCCCCACCCCCGCATGATCGCAGCCGAGGCCCTTGCTGGCTTCCAACCCCAGGCCAAGAAGTGCATCGTCGTCCCGACTGGGACCCTCTCATCGCAAGGCCTCGTAGCCGAGATGCGGCACGTCCTCGCGGCTGCCCACGCCCCATGGTTCAATTTCAAGATTGAGTCGAAAGCCCGCTACCTTGGTTTCTTCGTGGGCCCTGGCGCCACGCTTGCTGACCAATGGTGCGGCCCCGCAGTGAAATGGCGGGACCGCGCGGAGAAGCTCGCCGCTTCGTGCGGCCCCACCCAGCAAAGCATCAAGTTGTGCAACGTCGCCGCCGTCGCGTGCCTGGGCTACGTCGGCCAGCTCTTCGAACCGCCCGAGGGCACCCTGCAGGAGGAGCTGCAGGCCATCAACAAGCTGCTGCGCGTTGCCCCCTCCAGCTTCGCCAAGTCCGACGTCCTCGCGACGTCGCTCTGGGCGAATGCGGAGGCCCCCATCGGCATCGATAATAACTTTGCCGCCGCTCTCTGGGGAACAGCGTCTACCACTGTGACAGAGTGGAGACGCGCACACAGCGAACTTTGCGACACCGCTTACGACCAGCTCCCCATCACCGCGGTACTGCAAGGCGCGCGGTGCAACGACTGCTGGGAGATCAAGACCGCCATCGTCCAGCGCTTCGAGGGCGTCATCAACTCCACCTTCTTCGTTGACTGTAAGGGATCACATCTCAAGCGCTTGGCCCGCACCGCTGGGCCCAGACCCCGCGCGCGAGCCGCCGTGGTCGCCAGCCGCGGGCGCGCCGCTAGAGCAGGACGGCAAGCCATCCTTCATCGCCATGCCCCTCACCTGTCTCGACAACCTGTCCGCCTTCAACATCGCAACGATGCCAAGACCACGCCGCAGAAAGCCTACATGAAGTCGTTGAGCGAGCAGCTCCACATTGACACCATGCCTGACACCATCAAGCGCCGCCTGATCGCATGGTACCCCGCGCTAGACCCTGCCCGCCAATTTACACGAGAACCGCCATCTGGACCGCGACGTGAAGCTGAACGAGCCCAAGAGCGCCTTCTCAACATGGCGTGCTCATGGGCTGCGCACTGGCTGCCTGACCGCCCGTTGAACGACCGACTCATCAACAACCAAGACGACTGGAGGCATTGGTGCGCCACCTACCTGTACGAGCTGCTCGGCACCGACCTATCCCAGCCGTTATACACTACCGACACACAACGTCGCCGCATCGCCATCGACATGTGTCATCAAGCGTGGGCCACCAGCGGCCCTGGACGCATCCTCCTGGAGCGCCGCCCGCCCCGCACTGCGACCCAGGGCGAATCGCCACGCAGCCGTTCGTCCCGCAGCCGAACATCGCCGCGCAGCCACGAGGCTGCCCAACACCGTGCACGACGCCGCTGGATATCCCACATCTTCCCGTTGCTGGAGCTCGACGCCGACCCAGACGACATTCGTCGCGACGACGACATGGGCGCTGAAGACCCACCTGCCGACGCCGACGCACAGCGTGACCTCATTCAAGTCCAACAAGTTCCTGATGATCTCCCCGCTCGGTGGATGCGCCTCCGCACCCAGCTCGCGACGTTGCCGCCCTCCAGGCTGTGGGGCGCCCTGACGGTCCTCACGGTCGCGTGGACGACCTCGCGCAGGATGCGCGTGATCCCGACGAAGCGCCCATGCCATATCCGGTGCCCGCGCGCCAACGACAACATCCAGCAATATTCCCCATATCCTATGATGGGGCTCTTGTTATTATTTGGACGCCTCCTACTCCTTCTCCCTCTTCTCCTCCCCTCTCCTCCTCATACCCATATTTACTCATGCACAGACTGACTCACACTCAGACTTACTCAAACACAGACTTACTCACACACAGAATTTCTCAGGCGCAGACCTACTCATACTCATACTTACTCCTATTCAGATTTACTCATGGTGAGACTCACGCACGCCCCGTTCGCGGCCGTTTTGTGGGGATGCCTCAAGCGGTTTGCCTGTTTTCTGTCCCAGCATCCTTCGCTTTCGGAGCAGATTTGGAGGATGTCTCGAGCGAGGCACTCATTTTCGCACCCCTAAGGGGAACCGCCAGGGGTTATCTCACGGTCCCGTTCGCGACCGTTTTGTGGGGATGTTTCAAGCGGTTTGCTTGTTTTTTCCCCATGTCCTAAGATGGGGTTCTTGTTATTACTTGGACGCCGCCTCCTCCTCCTCCTCCTTTTTCTTCTGCTCCTTCTCCTCCCCTCTCCTCCTCATACCCAGATTTACTCATACACACACTGACTCACACTCAGACTTACTCATACCCAGATTTACACAAAATTATGCTTACCCAGTCCTATTCATACTCAGACCTACTCCTACTCAGAGTTACTCATGGTGAGACTCACGCGAAAGCAGAAAACCACGGTGAATTCAGGATGCGGAGGAGGAGAGGGAGGAGGAGGCGGATATGGATGACGATCCGCCTCATGGTGCCCTCTTGGGGTGCTCTTGGGGCGATCTTGGGCGCTCTTGGGGCCGTCTTGAGGCCCTCGTGACTCGTGGGGCCCTCTTGGGACCCTCTTTAGGGCCTCTTCGGACCTCTGGATGGCCTCTTGGGGCCATCTTGGAGGCTATCGATCAAAGGAGGAGGTTCCTGTCTGTTTGCCCCCCCCCCCCTCTCGGAGCGCTTTTGGGGCGATCTTGGGCGCTCTTGGGGATCCATTTGAAGGACCCTTGGGCCCGACACCGGGCCCCAGAGGCCGAAATGAGGGATAAACGCTTGGACTGAACCACATCGGGTGTCTGGGGATGAAGATCCTGCGATCTGCTTCACCCCCATACCTCTTATCGTTTGTCTCTTTCTCCCCTCGCTCTTGTCGTGCTCGGTCCAAGGTGGCCCAGCTGGGCCAGTGGGCCCCGAGCCGCCCGAGCCCTCCCTGAGATGCTGGGCGCTTGGTCGACCTGCGGCAGTGGCATCCACGTGCGCGCGCGAACGTGCCCGCTGGCAAGATCTCGGCTTCGCAACAAGAACCACACAGCATTGTTTTCGCCGTCTGCAGGATCTCTGACGATGTCATTTTGACAGTCCCAGCGTTCTGCCTCGATGTCGGCGCCCTTGGGCCAGTCATCGGGTCCCAGGGCCATCAAACATTGATCCGGCGAAAGATTGCCCCAGGGGAAGTCGTCAAGTCCTCTGGGGCTGCGGATTGGACGAATCACGACTTCGGAGGTTTGGGAACGATTTGCGTCTTGTTCTCACCGCTCTGGGCCTCCAGAAACCGTTTCCCAGCCCCAGGGCCGTCAAACTGGGTAACCCGCAGGGCAGGGTCCACTTCGATCCGATCGATCCGATTCGATCTTGATTCCGGCTCGCCCGATCCGAATCGATTCTGATATTCTGACGGTCCGGCACGGCCTGATGCTTGCGTGGCGCTGTTGTGCATGCTGGCCCAGCCGACTCGATTTCGACTCTGAGCCAAGCTGGTGCGGCCAGATCCCTTGGCATCGCTCGGACGTGTGCATTTTTTCTCGGCGAGGACCATCGAGAACCATCCTGGACCATCGAGCAAAAAGAACTCTCACGAAACCGAAAAATGCACGGGAAAATGGACGTCCGAGCGACGGCAAGATCCGACTGACACATTCCGATTCGATCCGGCATCCCGATTCGATGCTGATCGATCCTGCAGTGGCGCGAGAAATGACCCTCGCCTCGCGATCCGCGCACGGGGCCGCAGCGGTACAGCCAAGACGCTGAAATAAGGACCGCTTTGGGTTCGGAAGGGGCTCGGGGATTTGGGTCGTTTCTTAGATTTACGTCGCGGGATTTGCTTGTGGCCTAGGCCCACCGTGGCCAGAAAAGCCCCTTTGTTCCTGATTTGGCGTTTCTTCTGGTAATACCTCGACAGTAGCGGTGTCCTTCTCCAGGGGGCGGCGCGAGGTCAGGCGGCCCGGGTCACGCGATCGGGGGCGGTCAAGAGGTCTAGGCCTCCCAGCTCTTGGCATCGCTCGGACGTGTGCATTTTTTCTCGGCGAGAACTATCGAGGAGCATCTTTGATCATTCAGCGAAAAATGCACGCACCAAATCGAAACATGCACGGGGAAAGGACGTCCGAGCGATGGCGAGAGCTGTGGTCGGAGCAGGTGGAGTTGCAGGATCGCTCCGCATCGGCGATGCGTCGGCGATGCGGCTCGATGTGGAGGCCTCTAAGAGGGGGGCTTCGGTGTGGCAGGTTATGGGGGCCTCTATGGGGTCCTCGAGATGTTGTCTCCAGAGTGCATAAGCAAGCTGGCGTCTGGTAATCGATGAGGAGGCGCCCATTTAGCGTCGCTTGGCGTCGTTTCAGCGTTAGCGCTTACTCGCACGAGCCAGCAAGATGGCACTGGAGGATCCCGTGAGTTGCCACCGAAGGGGGTGATGACTAAGGGTGGGTGGATATCATGGCCGGGGCCATGGTACCCCATCGGAATTCATGGCCTCGGTTTCGATTTCAGTGCGCTCCCTGGCCCCCCCCCGGGGCCGCGCACATGCTCACGGTCATGATTTGCGGCGAACCCCCCTCTTGGACGCACCCCTCCTGGACGCCCCCCGAAACGACGCCCCAGGACGAAGAGCAAGTCCCACAGGGCCCGCAGCCCTCCACTCGCAGCCGTTTTTTTTGGCCCCGGCGGCGGAGAGGCCCTGCGCGCCAGCCTCGGGGACTCGCCGCGGGCCCCGCCCAGCGCGGCCATGTCCCACGACCCGGGGAAGCACGAGGGGAAGGTCGCGGGGGCTCTCGAGAAGATGCCCTACGACGTGGCCCACGCCCTGCTCCTCCTCCTCGAAGAGCAGAGGGCGGCACCGGCAGAAGCCGTCGGCCCGGCGCCGCACGGAGCCATGCGCGCGGAGGTCCGAAGGTTTATGCCGGTGCGGCTTTTTCTTCTTCGATCTTCGGCTATCGCGAGTCCTGGCGCGCCGCGCTGGCGCGCGCGGAGAAGGCTCCTCGCGCCGACGGCTCCCCGCGGCTGGAGGGCCTCCCCTCCGCGCTGGCTGCGCACCGGAAGGGGGCCGAGGAGGCCCGCAGGGCGTGGGAGGCGCTGGGCGCGCGGTGGGCCAAGGCCCCCCGCGGCGAGCGGGAGGGCGCGGAGGTTCAGAGGCGGAAGCCCGGACCTCCGAAGATCTGTGTTTTAAGTCCGGGCGTGTTTTTCTTCGACTTCGGCTTCCCAGGTCCGCTATCGGGCCCTATGGCCATCGCAAGCTGATCCGGAGCGAAAAACGACCCCCGGGGAATGGATCGGGACCTGTGGAGGCGCGCATTGACAAGTATCAGATCGCCGGATGTCTAGGGAATTTAGTGGTACCGCTACCCTTGCCCCGTCTTCGTCTTATCTGGGTCTTCTAAGGGGCCCTCGTCGCCACGGTTGGATTCGCCTCGGAATTTTTGTCAGACCGCGCCCTGGGACAGGTCTGGAGAGTAGCGGCACCGCTATCTCCGTATTCCCTCAAAGGTGGTCAAGGCGGTCGCCGACCTGGCCAAGTCGGCGGCGCAGCATTGCGCCGCCGCGCGCGTCTGGCCGCCCTCCGCCCCGGGGGGCGGGAAGGACGCGAAGAGGCAGCGCGACGAGGTCGGGGAGCACTACCAGAAGTTCGAGGCGGCATCCGCAGCTCTGAAGGAGCACGGGGAGGTCCTGGCGCCCCGCCTGCGCGACTCGCTCTCCGCGCTGCTGTGGAGCTCTGGCTGGCACGCGGCGAACGCCGTGGGCGACATGCTGGACAAGGCGGAGGACGAGGAGGAAGAAGAGGAGTCGAAAGAGAAAAGTCGGCGCCGACATCAGCTTTCGGAGGTTCGCGCGGGTGTCTTGGATCGGCGCTGGGCCCCCCCTCCTTGGCGCGCAGAGCGCGCCGGGGGCGGCGCTGGAGGCTCCGCCTATAGGGTCCAGCGCCGATCCAACAGATCCGCGCAGACCTCCGACAGTTGTTTGTTAATGTTGGTTTGGTTCATCTGAGGAGGCCGAGTACGATGAAGACTGCGAGGAGGATGGTGACGACGCCGAGTGCGAGGAAGAGGACGAGGACGATCTTGACGAGCGCTTCGGGGAGGAATACCCAGGCTTCGAGTAAGGGATCGATTACAGAAGTATTGACTCCCAAACTTGAAATGTTCGTCGAATTCACGAACAAATAAGTGTACCTATACGATCACCCTTCGGGTGATAAGGAGGTTAGGGGGGGAGGAACCAACGTCTCACTCGATCGGTCTCACTATCGATCTCACTATCGATCTCACTATCGGTCTCGCTCGATCGATCTCACTCGATCGATCTCACAATCGATCTCAATCGATCTATTTCATTCGATCGATCTCACAATCGATCTGACTGTCGATCTCACAATCGATCTCACTATCGATCTCACTATCGATCTCACAATCGATCTCACATTCGGTCTCACTATCGTTCTCACTATCGATATCACAATTGATCTCACAATAAACGTCATCATCATCAGCAACGTCATCGTCATCAACGTCATCAACATTATCATCATCATCATCATCATCATCATCATCATCATCATCATCGGGACACAATCATCATCATCATCGCCTCATCACAAGTATCATCAACATCATCATCACCATCATCATCATCGGGACACCAGCGTCGTCACCATCATCATCAGCATCATCATCATCGGGACACCCTCATCACTATCATCATCAGAATCGGAACACCACCACCATCATCATCTCATCATGGTCATCATGAACAACATCATCAACATGATCATCATCGGGACATCATTATCAGCAACATCAGCATCATCAGCATCATCCTCATCGGGACATCATCATCGTCACCATCATCATTACCATCACCATCATCATCACCATCATCGGGACACCATCATCAACATCAGCATCATCATCGGGCCACCATCATCAACATTATCGTCATCATCTCATCATCATCATCATCCTCATGGTCAACATCATAATCATCGGGACACCATCATCGTCATCATCATCACCATCATCATCGGGGCACCATCATCATCATCAGAATCGGGACACCACCATCATCATCATCATCATCATCTCATCATGGTCATCATGAACAAAATCATCAACATCATCATCATCGGGCACCATCATCATTATCATCAGCAACATCATCATTATCAACATCATCATCACCAGGACACCATCATCATCAACATCATCATCATCATCATCATCATCAACCTCATCATCACCATAATCATCGGGACACCGTCATCATCTTCATCATCATCAGCATCATCATCTCATCATCTCATTAGCATCAATATCATCAGGATCATCAGCATCATCATCATCGGGACACCATCATCATCAGCAAAATCAGCATCATCAACATCATCATCATCATCATCATCATCATCATCATCATCATCATCATCGGGACACCAGCATCATCACCATCATGGTCAGCATAATTACCATCATCATCATCATCATCAACGTCGTCAACATCATCATCAGCATCAGCATCATCATCATCATCGGGACACCATCATCATCACCACCATCAGCATCATCAGCATCATCAGCATCATCGACATCATCGACATCAACATCATCATCATCATCATCATCATCATCATCATCATCATCTCCGTAGCCATTTTGGCTCAAGTTGGAACCATTGCTCCGTGGCTCCAGCTTGGGAGCAGCCAAGGAGCAGATCGAGCGCTCTTGGCACACAGGGTGCCGTCTTCCCTTCGAACAAACAAGGTTCGTTCTCTCCTTCAGACCCCTCTGCTGCGATGGCGGGTGCTGTCTCCATGGACCAGAAGATGGATCAGCTGCTCACGTCCATGGCTTCTGTGGTGCAGGCGGTCAGCGGCCACGACAAGAGGTTGGCTGAGATCACCACGGAGATGAACGACATGCGCAAGGAGATGCGCACGGAGATCGACACGCGCTTCGAAGCGCTACAGTCTCAAATCACTGCGGCGGGTTCACGGGACACGGACGACATGGACACGGTCGATGAGGCCCTCACCGTTTCCATGCTCAGCGCTCAGACGGACAGAAAGATCAACGACATCAATGCCACTTTGGCTACTATTCAAACCTCTATAGCATCACTGTCTCGTGCTCCTACGTCTTACGGCTCGGGTAGTTCTGATGCTGGTCGTCGGGTGGCCCCTCGGTTAGTTGGCCCCGAGCTTCTTGCTCCAGGCCGGATTGAGAATCGTGTCTGGCTTCGTGGCTTCCCTCGCGAGATGATGGCCTCCGCCTTCAAGAAGCATTTCACTCAGATCTCTGCCGAGTACGGTTCTTTAGTCAACGCTGAGTGTAAGCCTGCGAATGGCAAGTACACTTACCCGATCATCTTTCCCACGATCGAGCGCGCCAAAGCCTTCATCGCCGAGGCTCGGGAGAGGCCGCCGATCTGGAAGGACCACAAAGACGGCATGAAGCAGCATATTCTGCGAGTTGGAACGGATCAGCCGCTGCCTGTTCGGTTGAAGAAGGTGGCTCTCTCTAGATCTTGGGCTGTTGCGCACGCTCTCCTCCATGAGCATGGTTGCTGGCGCCCACACTTCAAGCTCGGCACGGATCCCTTCAAAGGCACGGTTTTCTTGGTGGATAACGATGAGTACGTTAAGTTGGTCCAGCTCAACAGTGTTGGAGGCGATCTTTCAGGCGAGTTCGTAGTCGAACCCTTCTGTACGACTCTCAAGGACCTCGGCGTGCCTGAGGACAAGATTGCGTCGTTCGGCGAGAAGGTTCAAGTCGATGTTCCACGCTAGGATGCACTTCGACAGCTTCGAGGTCTGACGGATGCTCAGTTTTTTCGTTCCCACTCGCTCCCTTTGTCGAACAGTCGGAATGCTGGGTCTTGCCATTCTGACGACAGGGGCTCGGACAAGGGCAGCTCTTCTTCCTCCTCCTCCTCCTCCTCGTCCTCCTCCTCCCCCTTCCCCTCTCCCCCTGCTGAGTGGTTCGTTCCGTTTAATGTCACTGCAAGTTTTGGCATCTGCACTTACAACACGTCTGCGTATTTCGGTAGCATTTTTGGCAAGCATGAACTTCAGCGTCAGCGCTCTAGTAAGGTCTCAAAACTGTTCGCTAAGTACCAGGTAGTCCTTCTCCAGGAGGTCCATGGTACCCGCCAGGATCTCACTTCCCTCCAGAGAGATTTCCCTGGGTTTAAACACTTTGGTAGCTTCTGTTCGTCCCATCGGGCGGGGGGGGTCACCATTTCAATATGCTCTAGGCTGCTCTCTCTGTTCTCCAACATCTCTTCGAAGGTTATGGAAGCTGGGCGCATCATGTTTCTTACTCTTTCTGGGACCTCTGGAACTCTTCAGATCGGCAATATTCACATCAACCCGCTTCACCCTCCCCTCGTTCGGCAAGGTCTGTTTCGTAAGATAGGCAGGCACACGCTGAGTGCGGCGCAGGCTCTCTGTTTTTTCGGTGGCGACTTCAATTGTCTGGAGAGTGGCGAGCATCGCGTCTCCATCGCTGACGGCAGCTCTAGAGGGGAGGCTCCAGGCACTATTAACACATTCCTTCAGGTATTCAGGGACTTTACAGAAGTCGAACAGGTGGATTTCACACACAGATGTCGTCAGAACGCGAGCTTAGGTCGGCTTGATAGGATATACACTAACTGCCCCACGGCTGATTTGATTGACCTGCACCCTCGCACTGGTGTCCTAGGTGATCCCATGGCGTCATTCGAACCGTCTGACCACGTTCCTGTCTTTGTACAGCTATGCCCTGGTTGTATCGGACCGCCGCGTATCCAACGATGGGTCACGGCTCATCCTGATTATTGTACGTTACTCGAGGCTGCCGCCGAGAAGTTCGGGCTCTCCGTCGACCCCTTCGAGAAACTTCAGCAATTGAAAGATTGCATGTTCTACATTAAAGATGTTCTCACTCGACGCTTGTATCGTCTTGGGCCAGTCACTCCTCAACAACGTATTGCTGTTTGTCTTAAGCTACTTCGTTGTCTTCGGTCTGGCTCCATGGCTAATTGTGTGCGCAAATGTTTAGCTGCTTACCCTGTCTTGGATCGGTTTGCTACCCCTGACGGTTTTACTGATCGTATTGGCTTTCACCAGCATGTAGCTGAACTCCATCTTGAAGTTCTCCAGGAGGATCTCCAAAGGGCCCTTGAGGAACATGATGGTGGACCTATATCCAGAACCGACCCTGTCATTACACGTATCCAGCAAAACATGCGGAGCTGGAGCCCGAAACGACGACGAGTTTCTCTTGCAGGTTGTGTGGCTGATGATGGCCAACCTCAGTCTTTTGAAGATAGTGTTGCCAGTCTTCGTAGACATTGGGCTGCAGTGCATAGAGCCCCACCAGTTGCAGGGGGAAACCCTTGCCCCCTCGGTGCTGCGATAGGTGCTTCCACGGACCAAGCACGGCGTCTTTTAGAGCTGCACATCGGGACGGTGAGCAGCGGCATAGAGTGGGAGATCGACTCGTCAGTTTTCAGTGGTTTGATTTCTCTCAGGAAGCGTGATACGGCCCCTGGTCCCGACGGCATTCCTTACTCGGCATGGCGGTGTGGTGGAACTCTCACTCGTGATGCGCTATAGGAAGCATATGTGGCCTTGTTACGAGGCACTCGCCTCCCACATGCTTTCAACCATGGCTACGTGGTATTCCCTCCTAAGAATGTTGAAGAAGATACCCTCACGGTTCTTCGTGGTCCTGCCCAGACCAGACCCATTGTGCTCTCGAACACAGATAACAAGTTGATTTCTGGAGGCCTCTCGGTCCCCCTGGGACTTCAAGCTCGGTTTTCGGTGGTCCCGTTCCAGACTGGTGGCATCAAAAAACGCAATATCCTGGACAACGTCTTTGCTCTTGAAGGGTCGCTTTTGGAATATGCCTGTTACAAGGGGTTCGAGTGTGCGGGCCTTTTCCTCCTAGACCTGGCTGCTGCGTTTCCCTCGCTTCTTCATTCTTGGATATTCTTCATTTTGAGCTCGCTGGGCATACCGTCTTACTATGTGGACGCCATTCGCGAGTTGTACACGGACATGAATGTCCAGATTCTGATGGGTGGAAGAGTCTTCAACGGATTTCAGATCGGGACGGGAGTGAAACAGGGATGCCCTCTCTCCGCCCTCATCTTCAACCTTTGCTTTGACCCGATGTTGAGGGTCATAGATAGGCTGGTCAAGCCTTTGCCAGGGCGTGCGCTCGCGTTCATGGATGACGTTGGCATCGCCTCGGGGGATATTGTGCGCGTGGTGGATAAGGTCCTCAGGCTCTTCCAGGTCTCGGAAGTCCTCACTGGCCTCAAGCTCAACTACTCCAAGTGCGTTGTCGTCGTTCCCTCTGAGGCTCTGATATCTCGGGTGAGTGAACGTCTGGGTGCTCGTGGGGTCCCTGTTGGTCGGCTCAATTTTCGCACGAATGGCAAATATCTGGGAGTCTGGGTTGGTCCTGATGGGCCCTCTGCGTCCTGGCGCGGCCCGACTCGGAAGTACATTGCTCGCGGGGATTATGTGAAGGGGCTAAAACTGGGTCTCAGTCTCGGCATTAAGGAGTACAATACCCTCGCTTTCCCTGTCCTCTCATATGTGTTACAACTTCTCCCTGTGCCCGACTTTGTGCGACAAGCGGAGCAGACTGTGCTTCAGCGGCTTACTTCGAGTCCACGGTTCGCGATCCCGACGGACACTTTACGACACTTCTCTGGTTACGGCTTTAAGTTCTGCCCGAGGCCGTTGGTACAGGAGAATCGTGCTGCCATGTTCCGTGCATGTGTATTCTCTGCTGCTGCTCAGGCTACGTTTGCAAAGCTGACGTATCTGGAGGATGAAGACTGGGACATCTTAGCTGTTCGTCGGTTCCCAAGTTGGCTCCAGAACAGTATGTGTGTCACTTGTTTACGTAATTTTCGTTGCCTGACGGCCATTCCGCGGTTCCACGATGAGTATAACGAGGATACCCAACACCTCCAGGCCAAGGTCACTCGTTTTCTTCGGTTCCGAGATCTGATGCCCTGTTCCAGGCTGCTTGTGCCCCGAATTCGGTATTTTGACCCCCAAGCCCCCGATTGGATCACGAACAGAGTTTTCCTGAATCTACGAATTGCAAATCGCCTCCTTGCACCGTCCACGGCAGTTGCTTATTTGAAGTCCATCTGCAACGCTTGGCCGACGACCAAGCGGTACCGTCAAGCGTGTCGCCCGTGCAGGTGCTGCGAGGTGGAGGGTGGGGATAGCATCCGCCACATGTTTGAGTGTCCAGTCCTTATCCCGGCCCTGTCTCGTGTCCTCCCTGTCCTTCCTGCTTCTTTCTCGTCTTGCTCTGCTCTGGTGCGTCTCTTTATCTCTGATGTCTCGCAGATGACGCAGGACCAAATGTTAGCCAGCCTGCTAGTTCATGATCTCGCATTTGCTACCTTTAATGCTCTTCGTCATCTTGGTCGTCAGGGCCCTGATGTCATTCCGAACCTTGTGAATGCTCGTGCCCGTGTGCTGTCCAAACGGTCCCGTCGCTGCAGAGACCTCTTTATGGCCCGTTAACATCATCATCATCATCATCATCATCATCATCATCATCATCATCATCATCATCATCGGGACACCGACGGGACACTGGCGGGACACCGCGCGGCACCGGCCCCCGGAAAGGAAAAATTTGGTCCGGCCGCGCCTCAGCCGGATGCGGGACACTGGCGATCATTTGGTCCGGGCCGCGCCTCAGCTGGAGGAGTTTTTCTTCTCGCCCGCCCACGCAGCTTCGCCTCGCCCGCACACACGGCACGCACGAAAACGACATCGAAACCGATTTCCCGGTAGGGGGGCTCTCCGCTCCTTTTCGATCTCACCCCCTCACCTCCGACTATTCGTAGCTGTGCGAGGAATTTACGTGTTATTTGTTGATTCGATGACCAAATGAATTAATGCTGGGTTAACAAAATATGTGTTCGATCCCCTACTCGAAGGCTCCTCGGACGACAGCATCGACGACCTCAGAGGCGCCCTGGAGGCGTTCCGGGAGTGTTTCTGGGCGCCGAAGCCCTGGCGTGGGGTCTCCCTGCACCTGACAGCCTTGGACGAGGCCTCGGAAGCGGCCTGAGGGGGGGTCTGCGCTGGAGGTCAGCATCGTTTAACCGACCCCCATCTCCATCCCCACTCAGACCCCCACCATGCCAGCACCCCAGTTAGGGATATACCCTTCGAAACCCAAGGAAACGGCACATATCCCAATCTAGGGGGGTAAATCGGCCAGTTGGGCCCGGGCCACCGGTTAAACGATGCTCAGGAGTGGCCCGAGTAAAATCAGGGGAGACGGTGCCAAATCCGTTCAAAATCTGTTCCTGGACCCTTCCTGGGGTCGAAGCTGACCAGTTTCTCGAGCCGCGTCCAAGCGTGGCGGCGAGGGGGTCCCTTTCTCCCCCCCTGCTGGTGGCCAGAATCAGTGCTGGTCCATCTCAGCCCCTGAGCCGGCTCCACCCGAGGCCGGAGCGTGCGCCGAGCTGGAAGCCATCGCGGCGGCGCCCGGGCTCTTCGGCGAGGCAGGCCTGGACGCCGTGCGCCTGGCCGTGGGCGACCGCGCGGGCGACAAGGACGCCCTGGGCGCGGCGGCGCGGGGCATTCGGCACCGTCTAAGCTATCCCCATCCCCGCCCTCCCAGGTGGGGATATGCCCCGCGAAGCCTACAGGAGCAGGCGCATGCTGGAGTCGGCTGGGGGTTCGAGGTGGCCCGGCACCGCGTCTGGCGAGCAGGAATGGGGGGGCGAGGTTCGGTGTTGTGGGTCTGGGGATGGTTTCTGCTTCGGCCTCCGGGGCCCAAGGACCGTCAGAAACGGATCCGGGGTGAACAAGTCCACCAGATGTGCCCCAGGAGGGGCCCAGGGGCTGACTCTGAGCGGATTCGCCCGTATCCCTTTCTCCACCGATTTGCTCCCATCCAGCTCAGACATCCCGTCTGCCTCCGCGGCGTATGTCTCCACAAGGGCAGGCCGGCCCGTCTTGGGCCAGGGCCTCGCCAGCGGGGCGGGGGATCGGCGAAGCGGTGCTCAGGCGCACTGCTCCGGGCGAAGCAGCTCGGGCTGCGGGTGGTGCTGGAGGTGCCGGCGGTGCCCGGCCGGAAGCACGAGGCGTGGCTGCGGGCGGCGGCGGCGGCCGCCGCCGAGGCGGGCTGCGTGCAGGGCGTGGCGCTGCCGCGGCTGACCGCGGGCGCGGCAGGGGCCGCCGAGCTGCTTGCGGCGGTGCGCGCCGGGGGCCTCTCGGCGGGCAGCTGCGCCCTGCTCGTGCCGGCGCCGGGCGGCCGGGCCGCCGACGCCGAGGACGAGTGGACGCCCGAGTTCAGGCCGCGACGATGCGCCGACAGAAGAAACACGGGGGCCATGACAAAGATGTCGCAGGATCGTGCACAGTGTCGATCTTGGTCACGGTTCAGGTCGGCCGTCGCCCGTTCGCGAGGCTGATCCACGAGCCAGATCGACTGGCAGAGCTCGGCGGTGACCAAGATCGGCACGACGTTTCCGCGTTCAGTCTGGGTCGTGGACCGCGTTTTCTTACCCTCCAAGTCGGTGCCCCGAACCATCAGGGCTGGAGGTGGTCAGGGGTAGCTACTGCTCCGCGTCTCGGAGACCCAAACCAGAGAAATGCCCCGGACCAGAGTTGTCCCAGATAATTCGGACGTGCAATCACTCCCGGATCATGTGTGTTGGGGCTGGTCAGAGGTAGCTACTGGTTCGTGCGTCGAGGGCGCAAAACAGAGATATCCCAGACCTGAATTATCCCAGCTAGCTCGGTTGTCCAAAAGAAAGGAGGTTATTCAGCTCAGACGGGGGCGAGTCGAGGCAGCGGTGGAGTTGGACTTCGGTGACCCCCTCATTGCCACGGTTGGGCGCAGCTCGGAGAGCTTGTGCGCTCGGGCCCCCGTGGCGCAGCTACCCTGCTGCGCGCGTGCTGGCACACAGCCCGTACCTCAAGGGGGGATCGTACGCACCGCAGGACAGGCGTACCTTGCAGAGGGGGTCTCAGGGTCCACCTCGGGAGGTGGCCGCTGCGGCACCTCACTTGGGGTGCGACGTCCTGGGAGCACGTTTAGGCCTTCCCCAGCACCGTGTTCAAAACGACTCACGCACGCTTTGGCCCACGTTTTGGTGAACGCATGTCTACGTGCTGAGCTCCGTGTCGCTACGCCATGGGCTGCGGGTCGCCTGCGGGGGCAGCTCAGGGTCCAGGGACCGATTTTCAGCTGCCGTTGACCCAACTCGCCGTGCTCCTTGAAAACGAAGTGCCTATTCTTCGGCTCTCGAGGGGGTGTGGCGGCGGCCGCAGTGTTTTCGGGCCTGCGCCGGTCGGGCCTGGTCCCGGGTCGTGTTTCACCAGGCGGTGTTTTGCAGCAGAGGGTCAATAACCGAGTGCGGGCGATGATAAAGCCTACCCCTCCCCCCTTAAGGGTCTCTACTTTTGTTATCCCCGCTCAACAGGATTGAACTGTGGAGAAGGGCGCGGAGGCCGAACTATTCTAATCCACGGGGGGAGTTGCGAATCGAGTGGCGGGTTACCCAGCCCCGAGTGGCGCAACGATCGGCGTTGTTCCAAGCTTTCGGAGGCCCGCGCCCGCCTCCTGGGTCGACGCCGGACCCCTCCTCACTGTCCTGGCATCGCTCGGACGTGTGCATTTTTTTCTCGGCGAGGACCATCCAGGACCATCGAGCAAAAAAAAACACGCACGAAACCGAAAAATGCACGGGAAGTGGACGTCCGAGCGATGGCGAGCATTGTCGTGGGCGCACGCGGCGCGCCAGGTGCGCGCGCTGCGTGCGCCGGGGAAGGGGGGCTCGGCGCCAGTGCAGGCCACCGTGCGTCGTGATCGTGCCCATTTTGTCACCTGGCATCGCTCGGACGTGTGCATTTTTCTTTCGGCGAGGACCATCGAGGAGCATCCTTGATCATTTGGCGAAAAAACCACGCACGAAACCGAAACAAAAACACAGGAAATGGACGTCCGAGCGATGGCCAGTTCAATGTGTTTATCCAGAAAGGTCGCTGCACGAGTGCGGGTCCGGCGGGCTGGCCGACGGCGCCCTCCCTTGGCTGCTGAGGGACGCCAACGTGCTGCTGGAGGCAGCGCCCTGCTACGCACCAGCGCAGGAGGGCGGCCCGGAGGACCTGCAGGTCGGGTGTTGCCAGAAGTGGCCCTGGCCCACCCCAGCTTTCTCAGGGAGACGCAGGTGGCTTCCAGAGCACCTCTCGCGAGGCCCAGAGGGCCCCCAGCGGCGCACCAAGATGTCGCGAGGAGCTGGGAGCCCCTTGGGCCAGGGCCACGTCTGGCAGCACCCGAGCAGGGGCTGCTGGACGCCACCGCGGCCGAGCTGCAGTTCTCGTACCTCGGGGTTGCCGTGGGCCTGGCGCTCGACCTGCCGCAGCAGGTCCTCGGCTGGATTGGGGGCCACGTCGAGGCGACGGCGGCCCTCCGTGGCGTGATGTTCGCCCTCTCTTTGAGCCTCGCGGAGGCTCCTCATCGCCACAGCTGGATGCGCCCCGGCTTAGGCGGAGGTAGGAAGAGGGCCTGTCGAGGCAACGGCGGCGGCCCCTGGCGTCTCTCGGCCCCTGGCGTTCTCCGTCCTCTTCGGGCCTCCTGGAGGCTTCTCGTCGCCACGTCTGGACCCGCCTCGAAAGCCCGTGCAGGACGGCCCACCGGGCCGACTTTGAGCGGCCGTGTGCGGGGCTGGGGAGAGGCCGCTGTCTCGGCCTGGCCCTCCTCCCGAGGTCCAGGGCGCCGCGGGCAAGAAGCCCAAGGCCGGCGCCAAGCCGGCGCAGCCGCAGGCCGCGGCCGAGCCCCCGGCGCACTGGCTCCAGGAGTACGCGCAGCGGCTCGTCGCGGCATCGAGCCAGGCGACGCACGGCTTCTTCTTCGACTCGTGGCTGATGCGCGAGGGCGCCGGCGCCTCCGCAGCGGGCCTGAAGGAGTGCCTCGCCCGGGGCTGGGTGGACTTCAGCGCCGACTGCAGAACCATGCACCCCGCCGGCGCGCACAAGGCCACCATCGTGTACCTCCACGGCTTCAGCTGCGTTGCCGACGACTACATGATGGAGCCGTGGATCTTCTACCGCCCAAAGCCGCCAAAGAAGGGGAAGGACAAGGGCAAGAAGAAGGACGCCAAGAAGGGCGGCGGAGACGAAGAGGAGGACTCGAATGATAAATCATTGCGTGAACGGATGTCTTGGATCTGCGCTGGACCCCCATTCCCCGGCGCGCGGAGCGCGCTGGGGGCGGCGCCGGAGGCGCCGCCAGGGGGGTCAGCGCCGATCCAAGAGGACCGCGATGTAGTCCTAAAGTTTTTGCTTCGTGTCTGCTTCTGTAGCCAACTCTTCTTCAAAGGACATGGAGTACGAGCCCTGGCCAGGGCTGAAGGTGATCTTCCCCACGGCTCCGCTCCGCAAGATCACCGCCCACGACGGCGACGAGAGCAGCTCCTGGTTCGACTACGCCACGGACCTCGAGGGCGAGGCGGAGGACGAGGTCTTCGAGGACGTCGGGAGCCTCGAGACGGGGTGTCGATGCAAGCGGGGGTCCGCCGGAGCGCCAGATCCTGCAGGACCCTGCAGGAGGCGGGGCCGCATCGACCCGAGCTGGCGCGCAGGAGCCTGCAGGATCTTGCAGGAAGCCCGAACCGGCCCAGGTCTGCACTGACCAGGAGGGAAGAAAACACACAGACACAATGGATCGTCCACTCCCAGGAAATGTGGGAAATTATGGGAAGTGTGGGGGAAGACAAAGACCCAGAAAACATAGGAAAGTAGGGGGAATCCTGTTACTTGTGTGTATCTATTCGTGTGCCCCAGGGCCCCTTCCAATTGACCTGGGCTGGCAGATCCCCGAGGACGGCCTGGAGGAGCAGACCCGCCGCCTCCACGCCATCCTGGACGCCGAGGCGGCACTGGTCGGCGCGGACAACGTCTATCCCGAAGGAGGAAATTCGGCACAGACTTTTGTGGAAGTCGATGAATGGAGGGGAGGCATGCTGCCATATAATTTCCAGGTGCCAAAAGATGTTTCAAACATGTTTTAGATCAGTAGAAA